TCAAATCCACTCTTCGTTACCTCTGGCACCTTCCGATGCTCTAGGTATATTTTGCCACACAGTAGCACAAGGTTGCCGTCATGAAGACACAGTGCCTTTGCCCTCCTGTTCGTAACAGAGTTGTTTGCAGTGCCATGTGTACCTTCGGACAGGTATCTAGGGGCACTCACCAGCAGCGCCATTCGGCAGATGGTTACCGAGCAGGCTGCTGCTGTTCTGCGGGTGGCAGGTTGTGCAGATGGCGGGAGCGAGCTGCTGCTGATCAACTCATTCATTCCTCTCCCCTGGCAAATGAATCCTGTGGGGTAGGTGGACATGTGAAGCCATGGCTCCATCTCAGTAACCATAAGTACTTTCCTTTAGTTTCAGAAGTGGAAGAACATTTATGGATTTAGTTATTTATTTAGTAATAACAAATCTAATAAATGTTTTAATATTCCAGATTTTAACAAGAACACCCCTCTTAACTGTTTGACAAGGTCTGTTTTATCAGCTTCTCAGACGAACTGCATTTCATATTGCTCCTGCTATTTCACAGCTTTTACAAACAATTACTCTGAATTTTCTTCAGGAATGTAACACGAGTTTAATAACATCATGATGTTAAAACCCTTTATCATGTCTTAAATTGTCTGTTATCTGATATGACACAAAAAAAGCACATTTTTCTTAACGTTGCCAAACCCTAATCACTAGAACTAACAAGTGTTTAATGAAATCAAGATATCACTATAAAAGAGAAAAAACAAAACAAACCAACCCAGATCATTGTTTCTAGTCACCTAAGTTTTTAGGAGGTTTTGGGTACATTTTTATTACAGTGAGTACAGAGCTTACAAAAAGCAGACATTTCTTGAAGGGAGCAGTCAAACCTAATTCTCATTGAATGCTTGTTTCCCAGTAAAATACCACTAATTCTAGCCAAGTTCCCAAGTTTCTTTCTGTCAGAACAATGCAAATGACATTTTCAAGAAAGAACGGAAGCCCTCATCTCACAGGGATTTATAGGAAAGACAAAGTCTCTTGCACTTGTGAATGTGAAAATTACATGTAGATACATATGATGATGCATTCTTAAATATTTACCAGCCTACTGATCTAGGATGAAAAAAAACTTGAACTAAACATTTTTTGTCTTTTTTACATTCTGATTCTTCTTCTGTCTCCTTTAAAAATAAGAAGTTGAATTCATAGTGTTTGTAAAGAGACTGGTAGGAACCTATGTGCTTTAAAAAAAAAAAAGTCATCCTTTGAGATTGAATGTAAACACAGTTAATTTGAAATATGGTTTTGCCTTAATGGTTTAAAAAAATAAAGTATTTTTAAAAGTGAATTTAATGCTGATCTTTTATTTCCAGGAAAGTAATTCACTGTAATGTCATGGTTTTGAGACAAACATACTTGTTACCCTCTGCTGGCTGCCTCCTGTAAGTTATCGAAAGCAGCTGCCAAGTCTTAACTGAGTCCCTCATTCAAGGACCATGCAAGCATGAATAATTTTTATGTACACAAAAGTAGTTCTGTTCTGCGCTCTTGTACAACCACTTATGATCTCAACTGATAGCTTGTGTAAATGTTTGCAGAATCAGAACCTGGGGAGTGCAGAGTGGTGGTGCACCTGGGAACGGTGATGCCCGTTGCGCCTTCCGCAATAGTACCAGTGGCGTGAACGCGTCTTTTGTGCTGCTCTACTGTAATTAAGAACATGAATGATTTTGCCTTAACCTGTTTTGCCTTAATTTGGTATACAAGGCCCTGCCTCAGAAGACACTTAGCTGCTTAACTTTATACCAAGGAGTAATCATGCTGATTTTTAGCAGTGAACAAGAGCAGATAAACAATCCCAGATTTTTTTGGGTTAGCATCAAGCATCTGTTAACAAACAGTATTAGGTATGTTTACTACATAATAAGATGTGTGTATTGCAAGGATCTTTTAAAAGCCAAATGATATCTGAAGCCTCTTTAAAGTGATAATGCTTACAGATTAACTGTTTGACACAACTTAAATTGGCAATGTGTGTGTAGCATATATACTTTACATATATATATATATCTCATTAGTTTGTCTGTTGATCCACTGTCCTGCTGTGCCCCTCCATTCTTATTGACTGTATGACCACCTTGAGACGCTGAATTCAGCAGCACTGTAGAGCACGGTGACATGTATGTGATGTGTAACATACTAATTTGATGAGCATGGCTTCAGTTAAACCAGTTGGGAGGATATGTTACAGATTGTTTTCTGTCAAGAATCTGGGGATTTATTAAGCTGGTAAAAGAGTGCCGAAATGAAAATCACAGCAGAGGGTAAGGAACCACATTTTTTCATCAGCTGTGCTCTGGAGTGGTGAAGGCCTGATTTTGAGCAGTAGAAAGTACTCGGATAATGTAATGAAACCAAATGTAAAGGCTCTGCGTATCTTGAAGATACCATGGCTGATAATTTGGTATTTGGTCTGTGAAATCACATATATCCCAAAACATTATGATACAGAGACCATAATGCCCATGTTCAATGGGAATATGAGAATGTGGAACAAGTAAGTTTTAACAGCTAGGCACAGGTAATAATCCTTTGTCATTCCAGGAGATACCAAATGGCATGTAGGGCAGCCTTCTTGCCCTAAAGCATGGACCAGAGATGACAGAACACATCTGATGACCCTGGGCTACTGAACCACTTTGTGGTACTTGCTGGAAGTATGCTTTGCTTCACCTAAAAGGTATGCATAACCAGGTAACTGTGAAGCAGAGGTATCCTTAACTCGGCTTTTTCTGTGTACTCGAGATGATAAATACATGAACTGTACTGGGCCAAATTAAAAATCCTGCAGTTACAGATTCTGTTTCCTCTTTGAGTCTACTCCCCCTCTGGTTCAACTTAGCAAGTACTCAAAGGTAGGGTCATTTCTGAGGCCTTTAAATGATTCTTCCGTCAGACAATGATGGCAAAGATAATGATTATGAATAAATGAGTTAAATGCATTTTTCTTAAAGGGCCCAGAGGAGGCTGAACAGGAGGGAAAGCAGAAGAAAGACACTAGATCCTTCCCAGCACATCAGTGGGTGCATCTCCCAGTCCCAAGATAGGCCTGCATGCCATACAGCCCAAAGGCACGTTCTCATTTCAATAGGAACTATCTAAAGCCAGGCTTTTAAAAACTACTTTCAAGCGAAGAGTTAAGATGCAACCTGCTGCAAACATTGTGAAATAGAGGAAATAAAATGTTTTAGAAAGGCATTTGCTGGTATAAACATAGAATGTGATCTCACGTAACTATGTTGCTTTTTCTCAGCTTGATTATAATGACTACAATTTTAAGATGGAAAAGTGCTGTGATTCTCTTTCTAGCATCTCTCACTCTTGTTACAGTTTGGGTTTTTAGCACGGGAAATGCCTGTTATTTCTACAGAGCAGACACACTACAACTTTTAAACTGGGGGGGGTCCTAACATGAAACTGAAATTTAATACCACCCATTCTAAATAAGTTGAATATCAATTACTCTGAAAGCATAGTCTCTTGTTACTGCAGAAAGGAATCTGAAATGTTGGCTTCCAATATGCATCTTTTTTTTTTGGCAATTAAAAATGTATATGTATTTTATGTCTTGAAGCACCTAGAGCTTGAAAAGTCCATTATTGCTCTTCTAGTAACTGCAAGAAATTCCAGTCCCCAATAGAAGACACCAATATACTGGGTTCAGTAAAAACATAAAGAAAGATCTTAGGATGTTAGAAAGTCCTGAAGAACTTAAAATAACTCCTTGAAATCATGTTGATTTATTTTAACAGATACATGGTTCACTCATTCTACTGAAATGATCAAGTTTAGATGTTGACATATGACAAATGATATGGACAGAAGAGTTGAGAAAAGGGGAGATGTTAACCAAGGCATTAACAGGTTCTGAAGCAATGACCAGCAAAAGCTTGAATAAATAAAATGATTTGGTGATTAGGGAGCATTTGAGACACATCTTTAAGGTGCGTGACTAAGAGGTTTCATATAAATGCCACCTAAATCTTCCTTGTAATTAAGACAAAGTCAACACAGGCAATTGTGAAGCTATTTTTTGAGCTAAACAAACTGCTGTTTCCCTAACAATTTTATATCCTTTTTTGACTGAACCTATGTTTCTGAAATCCCTATTCTAGCTGCAGCTAAAGTGCTCAGTTCAGGAAAGAATTGAGCTTATTAATGAAACTTTTTAATTTCCGGATTAACTGGTGTGAAAGTGAAAAGGGAGTCACCTCCACTTGTAAAGCGTGAACTAGAAGTATTAAGGGTCCTTAATACTTCCCTATTGCTGTATTGACATGGACCGAAAGATTGAGTGGAAAGTGACTGCAAATGCAAGTGACTTAGAAGTATCTTTTTAAAAATTTTTAAAAATTATATTAACATTTTATTATAAGAGCACCTACCTTCAGAAGTCTTACTGCTGTGATAGTACTGAGATTATAATCTTGAAGAATCTAGATATTTCTATGGGTACCTGTGACATTTTCTGATAATAGTTTTATTTTAGACTTAAAAATAAAGCTTTGAACTTCTTGCCTACAGTAATCTTAACAGGACAGCACTGTCACGTTAACAATTGGTATATAGTGACTCTCTTGGCTGTAACTGACTTAAACCAAATCAATCTGTCTCAGATTTTCATAACACTGTAGAAGCATCAAGAATTTAAAAAAAATGTGAAAATTTGGACATTGTTCCTATACTTTACTCTGTTTAGTTTTTTACTACATGCTTTTTACATGGTGACAACAGGCTCATCTGCCTTTCTTTCTGGCTCTTCAGCACTTTAAGTCTGTACTGCTGGCACTGCAGCCGCTGCATGACGACGTTTGAAGCCAAGCCATTTGTAAGGAAATGTTTTACTGTGTTCTGAAGTAGCGATGTCACTTCTTTAAAAGGAGCAACATGATAGACTCCAAAAGGAGAGAGGGGAAACCCCAGCCAAAGAACTGTCTCTCTTGGTCCTTCAGTATTTATGTTCTTGTGTCCGTTTTTTTACAGGGGACAGATTTTTGTTGGGGCTTCCTTTTATCCATATCTTCTTGTATTTCCAATGGAAAGGCCTTTAGGTTTTCAGTCACACAGGGGAGACAGAACCTTTTGGAGTAGAACAGACTACATTCCTGTAAAGAAAATAACATTATTAGCAGGATACACAAAATGGAACTGCTTAAGTTCCAGTCTCATTAAACCACATTTATATTTAAAATTCTTCTAAATTAAATTCTTCTTCTAGGCTGAAATATTCCGTCAATTTTGCTTGTTTCTATTCAATAATTCTAATAGCTGGTTAGAGCTAACTGGGTTTAAAATAAAAACTGGGTCCGTAACAATCGCTAACCAAAACAACTATCATGTTGCCATAAGAAATGGCCTTCATCAGCTCACTGCTCCAGAGAACAGTTACACATTTCTTTACAACTGGCTTGTCCTTCAAGCATCATTCATGGTTCTCCTGGCACGATCACTAAATTCCAAACAGGATTTAACAAGTATGCTGGAGCTGGTGTTGCTGATGGATTATTCTTGGAGAGTTAAACATGAACAAAGGCATGAGTACAGATGAATTGGGACATCTTTCTGAGTGTAATGGATTCCATGGGTTTTACTTAAATAGCAAAGTTTTCCTCTGAAATTAAATTTTCATTTAGCTTATGAAGATTTCTCCCTCCTAGGAGGGTCTTCCAAGTTCCTGCACTGGCACGTGAGACTTGAAGTTTCCGAAGGCTCTTTCTCACCAGTGTCCACAAAAATGGCCTAAAGGCCAACATAAGCACAATAAACGTAGGCCAGGGGCTGTAGACTCTCACAGACTTCAGCTGCATCTTTTTCCATGACTCCCCAAAAACCTACTCTTCTTTCTGTTAATCTGTGTGCTTGTATTGCCCTAGGACATTACTAAAAAATATAAATATTATATCAATATCATAGAGGTGTCCAATAACCAGAATAGCTAAATGAATGTAATTCGGCTGAGACAATTCAACTGAGATTTCATCCATTAACCACCTTTGCCTTTAATAAACCGTCCTTGGTGATTAAAACCTAAAAACATACATAGTACTAAAACTGAGCTGATGTGTCTTCTCTGAATTTTTGATGGCAAAGTATAAAAGCTGTTGTGCACAAATAAAGTATCTTCCCTGCCCTTAAAATGGAATGACACTATGACCTGACATGTTTTGTTCACATTTGATTTGCTTAGCAAGTGTTACAGACTCAGCATTTACTTCTCACCCAGTTAGCTCTAACGAGATGTTAGTGATTGATAGGAAGAAGCAAAACTGATGGAATACTTTAACCTATTTGTAATATGGAGTTTGGACAACTGGAAGAGATGCTTATTAATGTATTACTCCTTTGCCCTGTGGCAAGACTGAGGTCCATGGTTCTCCTGGCATGCTGATCACTAAATTCCAAATAGGATTTAATGGGTAAGCTGGAGCTGGTGTTACTGATGGATTATTCTCAGGGATTTAAGCATGAATAAAGATATCAGTTCAGATGGATCAGGACATCTTTTGGGGAGTAATGGATTCCATGTGTTTCACCTAAATAGCAAAGTTTTCCTCTTGCCATGGTCAGCTGCGGATGGCCTTTCTCTGCAGGCTTGGCTTGCATGTTCCTGTGTTTCCATTCTTGCTTATTTCCTGTCACTATCTGGACTTCAGCAGTAGACTGAAGCACTGGCACTGACTGCCAGGCTTGTTCATATTCAGAGCTACTGTGAGGCCTTGGTCTCTGAAAAGCCCTGAAACGGGATTTCAGTTGCACAACCTCCAGAGCCCATTGTTTTTTGTCTCTTGGTATCCTTAATACTTTAAGCAGCCAATTAAAAAGGGAAGATTAGAGTTTAATGGCTGTGCTATTCTTGTTTGCATTGCAAAATGGCGCACAGCTCCCCCCACCTCCAAGTTAAGTTCATGGCTGGCTCCACAGTGATGGACACTGCACCACCGGGCAACGGCAGAGGAAGGGAGAGGCTTTTCACCCTTTATGCAGATGGGGAACTCTGATGTTAAAACGCAGATACACAGGTGCTCAAGTTGTATTCTTTTAGCTGAAATGAGTTGCCAACTTTTGCTGATTTTGGCCAATGGGAGTTAGGCAAATCATGAACACGAACCACTGCCCATCTGAGTGCTGGCTCCACGTACCCTTAGCCCTCTTCTCTGAGTTGTGGGATTATTCAGCCTAGCAGTTATTTTAAAGCCCTACAAATTACATTTGTTATGTATAGTCAAGCCCTTCTTTGACCATTATTCTGATAGGGTTCTGTGTTTAATTGGATAATTCTTTAATATGTTTCACCCTTTCCATGACCCAGGCAGGAAGGGTCTATTTTAATTTCAAACTTAATAGTCCACTTCAGGCAAAACTGAGCTGCCAAAGCATGCTGCCAGAGTTTATTTCTGTTTCCACATGGATCATGTTTGAAAGTAACATATACAGTGATAGTATCTTTACCACCCTTGTAAAGGAAACTCTATGTAAAGGAAAGGTTCTGCTTAACCATGTCCAGGATTGACCCTGCATGACTAGAAGTTGTGTGGAAAGTAGCTGCAGTATTACGTGTATCACTTAATACCTACAGTCATGTCCAAGGTCAGTGTTTAGTCAGTTCTGCTGTGGTGAGCAGTAAGGGATGAAACTTGCTGCCTTTCCTCCTTGCTTCTCCAAAAGCCACGTCCTTTCTTCTCCTATGTTTAGTAAGTGTTGCAATAAAAAAAGACACAATGGTTTTAAATTACTAATATAGTCAGATTCATAATTTCCTCTCCCCTTTTCTGAAAGGGAAACAGGAAGAAGGGCACTTGACCTTCCTAAGGACTTTTAAAAGCATTTTTATTATCTTCCTTTTTGTGGGGTTTCGACATGTTTTAAGACATTGCAGATAATAATTTGAATTATTTCTGGTTGGACCAGAAATTATGGCACTTATCAATACACTGTGCTAAAGCTCGGTTCAGTAGGGTGACTGGAATAAAATACCTGAGTGAGATTTAAGAGAATATTTGAAAAAGTGAGTTTGTGAGCACTATACAGAATGGTTGCTAAATCTTGACTTTTCTTGGCAGCGCAACTGTAAGGCATTACACTTCAGCTATCATGGGTTGTTTCACGAAAAGCCTAAAATTTGATCTGTATCTAAGCCTCCTTAGATATAAAAGCTAGCAAACTAAATCCAATCCCTTTGCCAAATCTAAGGTGAAAAAAGTCTTAATTTTGCCACAAGTTAGTCTAGTACTATTTTGAATTAATATAAAAATGAAAGCAACCTGTCACTGAAAACTTTCCATCAAATTGGTCCAGCTTCTTTGTCAAAGAAGCCCAAGAAAGTATGATTTTCTTGCTTCAATTCTTATAACATTATGGAAACAGTGTAGGGCTGAGTTGATCTACTTGGGTCAAGAACAAGTAGGAACCAAAACCAATCCATGGAGATATTATCCTAACTTCATCTCTCTCTACTGCCTTGGCTAAGTTTTGACTTCTCTGGATTCTAATTCTCCCTACATGAAAGAGGAATAGTATGTGTTTACCTACTTTGTGGTGTGGGTGTTTAAAGCACTAATTATCATTTCTGCAGATCTCTTTCAATGTTACCTAAGCAGTATTGCCAAATACATTTTGAAACCATAGTCATATGTGTGATTCACTAACTGGCCTGGCGAGTTTGGTAAGAAATTTATTCTCAATTATTTACAATCAAGGTTTTGGTTAAAGTGATACCATCAGGAGAATCTTGGAGACTCAGATAATAACAAGTAAATGGTTGACATAGTTCCACAATAGCCAAAATAGGAAGGAATGTCAAAAAGATTAGAAGAGGCTTCTATTGGCTCACTGCTAATATCCTCTTACATTGTTATGCCCTAGATTAACTGAAACAGTTATTAAATCTTTTAAAAGAAAAAGCCCCACCTTCATTCAGAAATGCCCACTCTGTTGAAAGATACGGAGATGCTGAAACTCTGTATTTCTGACAGATTTAACTGCCAGACTTGGACATATCCATGGAATCCTTCATAAGCTTAAGACACTTCATTTGGGAATGAAAATAGCTAAATGTGCTCAAGTTTCCCAAAATGTGTCTGAGGTGCTAATCTCTGCTGTTTAAAAAGGAGGAATAAACATGACATGTCAGGGCAGGAATCAAGCTCATAAGCCCAAACTATCTGAGTAGCTGCACTTGCCTTTTCCTGTGGCTGTGTGTGGGAGTGCATCAACTACCAGCCAAGACCGAGCCACTGTCACTAGGAAGATCTTGCTCACATGTGAGTTTTGCCTTCACACAACTGTCTTGAACTACTTGGCTCCGGAAACTTAATCCCAGCTCACTGACATCAGAGATCACTGGCACTTATCTGACTCCCATGTAGTCCTCAGGTAGTTCCAAAAAGGAAAAAAAAAAAAAAAAAAAATCTCCGTTGCAATCTCTAGCCTGACCTTTTGGTGATTTTCATTCATTTAAATGACAGAAGAGACTTCAGAAACAGGAAACAAATGTAATCAGGAGAAAAGTGTTATCACACACTCTTCTTAGGACAGTGGGCCAAATCCATCCTTGGTGCTAACTCCTGCAAATCCGAATAGCAGCTAAACTTGTCCAGGTGTGCCAGTTTCCTTTCGGCTGTGTCTGTCCAACCCTCTAAATTTTGTCAGTGTAATTTGACCCTTTGTTTGTGGGGCACTGGCATATGAGCTGTCTCAGTTGCGCACACAGTTCCACCTCATGCTCTGAAGAGGCCAGAAGTGTTACTCTGTCCCACCAGAACTATAACTGGCCACCAAACATCATGGAAAAAAATTCCACATCTTCACAAAGTCTTAAACAGGTCTGTCTGTTTCAAAACTCCTGTAAGGATCATGTCACTAGAGCTTACCCCTAACAGCTGCAATTAGAGAACGGACTGAAAAGGTTGAATTTGACAACTGCTAAAGATGACACTTAAGACCAAAGCGTGCTCTCACACATACTATTAGCTGCACTCTAGATTTAAGCATGTTACTCTAGGATAGCAAATGATCACTTTGAAGGCCAGGATCTGGCTGCTATTAGGGCAATGGTGTCTGGTATAACAAATACCTGCCGTTGTCCATGTAAACACTGCATGAGTCCTGAGCCTCTTTCAACCACAAAACTGGCTTGCCAAGGGAAAGGAGTAGAACCTAAGTTTTCTCAATTCACTGTACTGCCTCAGCGAAGCACACTACAGCCTCCGGACACTGATAATTGTGTAATAACTTGTCTTCATTTTTGCTTTGAACTCACAGCAAACAAAGGGACCAGTTCTGCACTGAGGAGAAGGAATTAAGACAACTGTAATTTTACACCACCTTTCTGGACTATGCTCAGATTTCATAGCTTTAAGGTTGCCTACCAGCTGCTACTCAAGTTCATTCTTCTTTAGAGAACTATCACAGCATTGCACAACTCCCTTCCTTGTTCACTTTCTACATTAGCTTTTACAAATAGGATGGCAGCCCTGTGCTGTGGATGCAAACCTAACAATCCATTGATGTTCATATTCCCTTTACAGAAAAAAAACCCTGCTATTGGTATAGTATGATCTACTGAACCTTAAAGGTCTTGAAGTGATTCTCCCTTGCATTTTTTTTTTGTGCTGAGAAAGTGAAAAAGAGCACTCTTTGTGTTTGTGAGGCTGGACTGTGCTCATCTGTAAATAGGACACTTAAAGTTGCTGATCATTTTCGTTTAATACAAATAACTTTATCTAGGGGAATCAAAAAGAACATACAATTGGCTTGCCTTAAAAATAGGCTGTTCGGGTTTTTGCTGTTTGGTCTTTCTGTCACAGGTCACCAGGACTGGAAGAAAAATAAATGATTGAAGAAGCTCGTTTTGCTTGTTACTTACTGTACCAACACACACTGATCTCCTACACAAACTGCAATGAGACCCAAGGATGAGGAATTTGTCCTTGTCAGGGGTGAAAGGATCCTTCATGACATAGCTTTCTTCCAAAAGCCTGTAAGAGAATAATTTCAGGCTTTTAAGGGTAGATTTCACAGAAGGGGAGAGTTGAAATGGACATATTGTGGAGGCCAAAAAGGTATCAGACCATTCTACTTGATTTGCTTGGCCTGGTGTTGTACATGAGGCAATGTAGCAGCTATGCAGCTCCCTTCTTCTTCAAAACCAACACTGTGGCTGCCTTCAGTCTTCCAAAATTAGGGCAATGGATGATCATCTCAGTGTTGTCTTACTAGGTTTTTCTCAGGGCTCTACCTTAAAGTATCTTTTATTTTCCATTTTTATGACAGGCACTCCTTAGCATGGCCAACTTCAGTACCTTGTCAAGTTTCACTTCATTTGAACAGCTTTTAATTAGAAGTTCTCTTCCAAAGCTGTGAGCACGTGAGTATAAAATAAAAATATTTTACTGCTCTTGGTAAAGTCATTGATGTAAAGCTAAGGTTCCCACCTCTTGAAAGCAGAAGCTACTAATACAGAGCATTACGATGACCTGAAATATGCTTACTTTATGTCAGAGACTGTACTGTTTGCTTCAGGGTATTAAGGGAGTGCATTTATTAATAATTTGGCAACCTGATTGGGAAAGACTATGGCCTTATTCTTCCTGGGAGCTCCAGGTAAAATATTACAGAAGTCAGTTGGGTGTCTGTCTGCACAGGGCACCCTGCAAGGATGGCTTATTCTTGGACTTAAATCAAACCTGGATTCTGTAGTAAAATGGAGCACAATACATATTTAAAAGCTATTAACTCATACTGCCTTCTCCTTGTCTACATACATACACACACGCACACACATATACGTGCATTTATGAGTGTATTCCTTTTTCCCTTTCCTCTCTACTCAAACAGAAAAATGGTATGGCTCAAGCCTTCCACTGTTAGGAAAGATCAGGCATCTTAACACAGCAGATCACCTTGTCAACAAGTCTCTTAGTGTACAAAGACTGGATTACCTTTGCAAGGCTCCTCTTGCAAGATTCACAGTCTTAATGTAGTCATCATCAGTGCAGAGACCTGACCATTGTACAAGCCTTCATGTTTGGCATATGTTCCTGCAGCACTGCATTTAGCATATGTGAGCAGACCAAAAAGTAAGCCAATAAAGATAGTGTGTAAAGCTATTTCTTATATGCATGTACAGAAGTGCTATGCTTCAGCATTATTCATTTGCTTTTTGAATCCCAACAATCCAAATAAAGCTGAGATGTTAACACTGAGCTTGGATAACCTAAAGTTAAGATTCATGTTCAGCTTTGACTCAGACTCTTTATGAATGGACCTGATCAAACGTGGGGCATTGCTCTGCTGAGTAAAAGAGGGAAAACCGGCAGCATCATGGAATTTAAAATACAGCTGCCCAAGGAAAACAGATCTGATCTCAGCCCAAGCAGATGGTGATCAACAGCTGTTTCCATTATATAAGCAACTGAGTGGTCTCAGTGAGGTGAAATGCCGAGTAAATGTCTAACTTCCAGTTCCAGTGAGTTCCTGACCATGTTTGCCTGATAGGTTTGTTGACTGGGATGGCCTCAAGAGAGCTACTCATACATTTAAAGCTAAGTGCTTTGTGTTATGGGGAGTTTAATGTCTGCACACAGAGTTGTAACCGTATAGCTTCTCGTCAAACTATCCCTACTTGGCAGAGATGGAAAAGGCTTCAGTCTCCTAAAATGTAAATATGTACTAAATTTCCACAGACTTTAATGTCATACAATCTGCCAAAGAACTGCCTAATTCATGCAAAAAAGCATTGCTGTTCAAAACTCCTTGTCATGTCAAACAGCTCTTAAAAAGTGTTTTTACCATATGTATTTAATTCATGCTGTGTTTACATGTTGCCCAGCTGACACAGCTGTGAGGAAAGGGCTATTCTCAGAAATGCTAGGCTGACAGTCAACAGTACTCTAGTAAAAAAATTACAGTATAGGTAAGTAGTAGGGTGGCCAGTGGGGTTAGAAAATAGGTTAAATACAAATCTTTGCATGGTATTGAAGCAGGACAGGAAAGCTGATTTTTGTCTTTACTATGAATGCTAGCAATTTTTAACATTTCTTCCCTTCGGAAAAAGAAGGCCACTTTAAGTACCAAGCCCCATGTTCCAGGGCAGGATGGCATGTTACTGGGTTCATGCAGTGCACATCACTCCACAATACAAGGCTTCTAATGCTCATAGCATAAATAAAGTCTGTAATATGAAAGACTGTACTTACACAATAGAGCGTGTATTTGGTGGCTTCTGCCCATAGTAGGTGTATGGAGCTGTTAAACCACACAGCTGACATGTGAACTCTCCTGTAAGTTGAGCTTCTTTGTAAGCATCCATTTTTAAGCTACCTACAAGAACATAAAAATCTTTTAGCTCCAAAGTGCAGTACTGGGAACATGCCTACAAGAAGATTAAACTGATGTGGGACATCTGGCTATACGCATTAGAATCCAATGGAAAACCGACTATTGCAAAACTTGATTAGTAAATCTTTTCTCCTAAATCAAGTTGGTTTCCCAATGTCCCAGTTAAATTTCCAAATTCCTTAGACTGGTTCCTAGGAGCCTAACTATAAAAGTTCACTTATTAATTTCAAACTTGATCGATAGAAGAATTTAGGTAACAAAGTGTATGCTTGTGACTGGAAAACCCTTTGCTCAATCAAGGCCTACGCACCCAAAGCACTTCCCAGGAAATGACTCCACATCTGCTGTGCAGAATCCCAATGCAGTTCTGCAATGCCTGTCTCCTCTCACAAACTGCAAATGGAGCTGTGAAAGGGCTTGGGACCCTGCTCAGGAGGCAGGTACCAGAAAGGTAGGTGTTGCAATGATCTATTATGTCTTTTTCTTTGCTTCTGGTTCACCTTAAAATAGAGTTTTGGGAACTTAGCCCTGTCTCCTTGTTCTTATCTGGCTTCCTATGGAAATGAGGCTGACATAATCACCTTGTGCCTAGATAGAGTGTTGGCCCATTCAAGCCATGCAGCACAGAGGAGGAGGTACCCTCAAAAAACTTTAGAACCTGTAACTCTTTTGAAAATAGGCAGAAGAGGGAGACCTTACTTTATCCTCATGGAGGATACACATATATTTCTATAAATCAGAGATTTATATTTCTATAAATCTGCACGTAGGAAAGCTATTGTCCATCTGTCTGAAAGACTTCAGACACCCATTACAAAGGTGTAGTTATTAGTCACGAGATATAATAATATGTAGGAAGTGGTGCTTCATCAGCTCTGGTGCTTACAAGTTGACTTGTTTAAAACCTTAGCCATTGATTTACATTTGGGAGCTTATCCTTCACTGATACCACTTTAGCTGAGAGTCACACCCCGAGTTTTTCAGAAAGCATGGTGTGGCAAGTGTGCTTTTAGGACTGATTTTGGTATGTATGCACAATCAAACATACCAAACACAGTTAACCACATGCATGCCCCAAAATTGCACCAATCCATGAATGAAATTTGATCACTTGTTTGCAAATTGGATATCTTTGCTCACCCGCACCATTTTCTTGAACAGACATTCGTAACAGCAGTTAGCAAGAAAACTCGAGCTTTTAGCTAAAAGCCCTCACACTTTTCATTGGCATGCATTTTTCTGCTGCAAGCCTGTCAGCTTTTTTAAGTGAAGCGGAGCTGGCATCAAGTTGTTAGGAGAATGACCACTAGGAGCTTGGATTTGGGCAATATTTCAGCAGTTAGGTTGTGCGTGCTCATAGCTGAGCAGACATACAGCCTGCCAAAGGACAGCACGTCATTCCCACTCTTCTAGCTTTGCAGCCATACCCTTCCCCTGCAGAGCTGATTCCGTTCACTAAGGCCATGTCTCTGTTTATGTTTTAGCTCAGCTCAGGGGTTTTTTTTTTTGGGAACAAATTGCCTGACTGTCCCCACTTAACACACTTGGTTTGCATTGTGGAACAGTCTTAAAGCACACAAAGCAGGCAGTTTCAGATGAAACTAAGCTGAAAGATGTGCTCTAGAAGCACACCTAACACACTCCAACCTGAATGCCCAACTAATAGCTCTTCAGTCTACAGGCTAGGAGAAGAGGTAGTCTGAAACATCCCAAAACATAGAGAAGTGGGCAGCCGGTATTCAACATCAAAGGCCTTTGTCTATGGTTTCACTCTTGCTGTATCACAGTAGTTACTAATTTAGTAACAAATAAAAGAACTACCTTTTTTCTTCCAATGCCTTTTTTCTCTTGTTTTAGGAGCTAAATTGGCTTGCAGAAGAATCCAACAAGTGCTAACAGTAATACAAGGTGAGAGGCAAAGCTGCACAGCCAGGAAAAACGGGGGGGGGGGGGGGGGGGGGAA